CGTTGGTAGCCAGTTCTCTTCAGCTGATCTGCTTCTACGATAAAATTGCTGAATTATCTCTAGAAAGAGACTCAATTGTCTGTGGGACACACAGACACAAAAAACACAACTTACCTCCGCAATAATGTGGACACTTCAATTTTTTGTTAGCAAACATAGCTACTATTTAGTGGATGCTTATGTGCCAGGTACTGTGTGAATGTATTACATATATTGTCCTATGTAATCTTCAAAAGTTAAAACTGGCAAGGTGTGTGTTTTTGTTATTCTATTTTAACAGATAAGCAAGCTGAGGTTGAAAGAGATTAAATAACTTGTCCAAGGTCTCACAGCAGAATAGCGGAGCTGGGATTCAAACAGTGGCCCATAGTGGCAGAGGGCAGAAGAGGGGAGGGGAGGCAGGGTGCCTTGTGCACCTCGTTTCCCATCGCAGCATGACCTGAGTGAGCCATTGTTCCTTTGACGTTTTTGTCCTGTTCCAGCGTGTGTCTTATTGAGTGCAGGGAGTAGGCAACACTGACACTCAGAATATGTAGCATGCCTTCCAAATGGCACTAGTTTTATTCTCTGAACTCTTTACTGATGTTTTAAAAATATCCTCTCTGAGCTTACAGCCCCTTTCAGAGCCAGTTCCACCAAAGCACTGTAGACATACAAAGAACTGCTATCTCTGGTTGGTTTGTGTGGTTCACTTTTTGTGTTTTTGACGCAGGTCTAGAACATGGGTTTGTATTACATATATACGTACATACACGTGCACATACGTGTAGATGATAATGCTTATAGAAAACTTGTACAGCACAGAAGAAATTAATCTCCTATAAAATCAAATGTTTAGCTACCATTACCATTCAGTCTGTGACCTTTCAAAGTTTTTAATGCTTACATATACATTTTTATTACCAAAATTATAATCTGTATGGTATACATATGTTTTTTTCACTTAGTAATATATCATGAACATTTCCTCATGCTAATAAATATTCTTCCACTACATGATTTGGGGAGCAACTTGATGGCCATTATCTAACTGTGCAGTAATTTAATTAACATGTTCTTTCATATTTTGTTTATTCCCATATTTTTACTAATGATTTTCATATGACTTCTATTGTTGGTATTAAAAATCCAAAAAAGGGTTATGAATTAACTCATTGGCATTAATATCTATATGAAGGATAACTTTGGGATCATTTTTACTTAAATTACCATAGAATTTTAAGACCTTAGCAGAAGAGACCTGAGCAGTCGCCTGGGGTAGCCTCTGATGGGCGAAATCTCTCCTGCAGCTTTCCTGACAGGTGAGCCAGCCTCTGCTCAAATACCTCCATAAGTAGGCACTACTCAGCTCCTCTTTGTGTCCTGACTTTATATGTTCCTATATTGGGCGTAAGGAACAAGGTCTGACAAATGGATTTTGAAGAGTTGCTTCCGAAACTTTTAGAAACCTGTGCTTTAAGATCAATGTGATTTGAGAATCTGGGAAGGAAGTTAGAGGCAGGATGGCAGGCAACAGAGCATAGAATGCTGGCTTAGCTAATAGAAGTCAATAATTATTACAGACAGGCAGGGAGTGAGTGTTCTCTGATTTGCAGGCTACAGTTATTCTAATTGATTTCTGCATACTTGTGGATAGGGATCTGCCCTCTTCCATTTATTTTTCTCCTGACAAGTAAGATGTGAAATGTTGTTCCATGCCTTTCTAATTTAAATGTTGCACATGTTGAGAACTGATCTTGCCAGCCATTTTAAGCCTGGCCAAAAACATAACACATTGTTTTTATTAGCCTTCATCATTTGGTTAGAGCCAACATTTTGTTTGGAACTATACAGGAGTATAAATCTCCTTCATAGGCATAACCTATTTCTGCCATGAAGTAGATACAACGAGAAGGCAGCTCCATTTCCTTGGTGAGTTGCTCTGGTTAGCCTCACGGGGCTGATGAGGTCAGGGATGCACATTTTGAGAGACTTCTTGGGAATGAGATTCATTCTCTTGAGGATCTTACGATTCAGCTGCGGGGAAAGACACGTGGATAACTAATATAAGGTGGTGTGTGAAAAGTATATACGCAAAGATGAGAGGGAGCTCAGAGGAGAAATGGAGCATTACCTCACGGCTCACATTTAGGGCTATGGATGATGTCCTTGAAGCCATATGTAGCACATTCAGCCTGCAGACTGAGTAAACCATCTGTCTCACACACATGTGTACAACTATAGTCCAAATATATGTAGATGCCCTGGTGGCCAACAATGCTTTTAAGTGAATTCTTGTTTTATTACATTTATTGTAGCTTTTTGCCATATTGTCTATTTTCAATCAATAGATAGTATACTTATAATTCCTATCATGGGCATCTGTAAAATTTTTTCATGTTAAAAATTGCTTTAGCTACTTGAAGATTGGAAACTTCCATTGTCTACAGCAGTGCTGTCCAATAGAACTTTCTGTGGTAATGAAAATGTCTCTGCATTGTCCAATATGGTAGTCATTAACCATGTCAGCACTTGGGGACTTGAAATATGACTAGTGGGACTGAGGAACTGAATTTTTAATTTTATTTGATTTTAATTGATTTAAATTTCAATAGCCACATGTGGTAGAGGCTACTGTATTGGACAGTGCAGATCTATTGTATCCCTTTGTAGCTAATTTTCTAAAAATCCCCCCGCCACCACATTTCCTCTACCCTGCCCCCTCGTAGTTTGTTTTGACTTCTACCCACAAATGTGGGTGGCTACCAGGCTCTTCTCAGGTGCTTCTATTCCTGAATGTTCCTTAGGCCAAGAGAAGAGTCCTCTCATAGATGCTTAATGAAATGACTTTGAAAGCCTTTCCTAATCATAGAAATAAAAGGAATGGTAGTTTGCACTTTAATTTCTATACAGCAACTTGAAGAGGTTTCTGTATACCTGGGACACGTGAGCTAGTGGTTTTCATATTTAGTTTGTTTCAGAGTTCATAGGGCATGACCCTTCTTTAAAAATTGACTATTTGGTAGGCAGGGTGGTTATAAATAGTTATTAGAAACTCAGAAATCAAAATCTTATTCTAGTGCTCTCATTAGGCAAGAAGTTATCCCTTTCCTTTGTTCTCCTGGTGATTATTAAGAGTAACCAAATGGTCTTCCTCCTCTAATTTACTCTGAAACAGTTAATACAGTTCATAGCACTTTACAAGTTATATATCTTTCTCACGACTCATAGCCTTGACGTCTTTTAAGATCATTGTGTGCAGTAACAACATAAACAGTACGGTGGCTTCTATTAAGGTAAGAAAATCACAAGAGGATAGCCAAATATCTTTGAGCATAAAATTCACCTGTGTATTTATATTATAGTTGATATTCCTTCTAAGTATAGTGCTAGTTAGATTACTAGGTAATTCAAAATCGTATTCTTCCCAAAAGATTTTTGTACTGTACTGTTTTCAAAGAAGATGGAGGAGGAAAGCAGTAAATAGTAGAATTCAAAAAGGCATATGACCAAAAAGTTCTTTTGGAACCCATGCTTGAGGAGTTCCCATCAAAATAATAAACACCTTTCAAGGACCAGCCTGGGAAGAGGTCTTTCCATGAAGGAGGGCCTTCTATCCCACCCACCCCCTGAAGTGTGACAGCCATATCACCGTGCTCTGGCGTTCTCTGGGTGGGCTCTCTCACTTCCTTACTCTCCTGCTTTGAGGTCTGAGACTTGGAGGTTTCTTCAAATATCAGACCCAGAGCAAGAAAAGTTTCATTTGCTGAACAAGAGTGAAAAAACTGTCCTCCCAGTGCCTGCTGGGCTGTACACCTTGACACCAAGTTTGCCAATGGGAGAGGAAGCTTAAAGGCAACTGCACCCTGGTGTCCAAAGCAGATAAATTCACAGCGAGATGGGAATGAAGCATTGATAAGTGTATCATAATCTCCATTCTGTATACCAGGATTCTTCCATTCTTCATCTTCTTTCATGAATTTCCACCAACAGGTGAATCTACAGATGGTTTTGTTTCTGACATTAAAATTGTTGAACATCTCTTCTCATAACTTTTCCTGTTGCTGTGTGTCCCATTTTAATTAAACACATCCCTCCATTGGCTGCTAATCTCCATTTTACAGGAGAAGAATGGGTTGTTGTGATGGTGGTTCATGGTGGTGTATGTGTATGTGTATGTGATGAATTGGGAGGGGAGATAATGAGGAGTGGAGCACAGGGAAGAATGCAGCCAGCAAAGACATTTGCAAATATGAAATACCATCCTAAATTGCTTCCCTTTCTACTCTATAGTAAGAACAAAAGAATGCAAATGGAAACTTCATCTTCTCTGAGCCCCCAAGAAGAATATCCATTTTTGCTCTATACTCCCATCTCCTTTGTAGAAGATAGGAATGAAGAGGTGTAAACTGAGAACCCTGCAGGCTTTGGGAAAGGATTTAAAGAACATTGTAGTTTGGGGTCCGTACTGCTCCTCTCCCTTGGGTCTTCCTATCGTCAGGCTGCCACCCCTCCTCCCTCCAGCATCGTAGCAGTGATGGGTGGCACTTTCTGCAGGACTAGGTCTTTCTCCTTGATAGATCTGTGTAGAAAAAATAATGGACTGTGCTGGTCAATCTCTGGTCAAGTCTGTAGTGCAATTGGTTTAGTCATATGACGTCTTAACATTTTTGTGTTTGTTATATATATTTTCATTCTGGTTACAAAGTTATACCAAATTATTGTGTTGTCTCAATTTTCCCTCTTGCTGTTTGAGTTTATGTATATTTTTTTGATTAGAGCATCTTAGCTTGAAAGCCTGTGATCTTCACTGTAGGAACCTAGTACAAGGCTAATTATCTGTCGGCAAAATTTGAATTGCTGGATGTTTGAGTAATTGCCTTCAAAAGCAATAATGAGGTTGCAGGTTTGATGAAATGCTTATGAGTGGTGACTTTAGAGAAATCAACCTCTCTGTTTTCAATATTGAATTCCAAATTACTGTGTATTAACACATCTGTCTCCTGCCTTTTTTATTTCAGTACCTACTAGAAATGAAAAGCTTAATCCTACCCCCAGAACATATCCTGAAGAGAGGGGACAGTGAAGCAATAGCATATGCCTTCTTTCATCTGGCACACTGGAAGAGGGTGGAAGGGGCTTTGAATCTTTTGCATTGTACATGGGAAGGCAGTAAGTAATTTTCTTTCTTTGAAACATTTTTTTAAGAGCATGAAAAGATGCTAAAACTGTTTTTCCTTGAGTATTCATGATGAATAATGAAAGTTTGCATATCTATAGCTCTTTTTGTCTGCGATGGTCCATCAGTGAGAGATGGTTAATTACTTAGGCTCTCCAGTTCCCCAGTGGTGGTGGGTGTTCCTCTGGTGATGCTATCTCTACAGCTCAAAAAGGCAAGTTTATACAATGAAAGGGATGAATCTGGACTGTTCTAGAAAACTCTCTTTGGAGACCTGGACAGCCCCTCAGCATCATGGGAATCTTTGGCATGGGGTTAGACCTCTTGCTGGGCTCTGATTACCACTTGGATGGCCTCTCTGGGATGGTTAGCTAAAGAGCCACAGTTATCCTCTGCTGGAGCTAGGTTGGCCAAACACAAAGAAGCAGCAGTTATGCTTCAGAACCAGAGCGGTGGCCATTGGACCCTAGTGTTTCGTGGCAGATGTAGCATCTGTGTGTTAATGGATAAATGCCTGTTAGATGGGTGTAGGGATAAATCAGTCTGAGGACGTGCTAGGTACCATCATTCTGTGTAAGGAGAAGAGGCTCTAATGGTGGGTGAGACATACTCCCTTCCCTGAAGAAGCATCTCGGCTAGTTGGGAGGAGTAACCAGCAGCATGTATCAGCTGCCCAGGGATTTTTCAGAAGGGAGAGGTCTATGGGGTGGAGCAGTCACGGGTAACCTTATGGGTTATATGAGATTTGAACCAAGCCTTGAAGAGTTAGGACAGTATTATAAGCAAGGACCCTGTGTGAAGAAATGCTAAGTGGTGGGACTGTTTGGGAGAATATAAATTAGGGGAAAAGGCCCAAGACTATGGATTATTGGACAACATGTGTGTTGATACTCTTTTATAAATAATTTAAGCAAAGCAAGTGCAACATGTAGCATGGCGGGGGGTTCCTCTTATGGGGAAACAAAACAAATATTAGAGTCTTCTGATAATTTTTTCTTAATTCATTCCTACTCTGATCAGCCTCACAAACGAATGTCTTTTTAATACCTTTCACTCTGCTTAATCTTTGCTGCTCTCACTTTCATTTTGATGATCTTCTGCTCTTGCCTTTTCCTGCCCTTTCCTAACCCAGCAGGAGTCCAAACTGGTGCAGGAAGGGAGGGGGGCAGCCAAGGAGGAGTGGGTAAAGTAGGTTGACAGAGGTGAGACCCAAGTTGATTGAAAGTTTTTTGTTTAGTTGTTTTGAGAATATTTCTTTAGAGAATTAACAGCTGGTCTACTTAAATAATTTACTGTTTGTACCTTGAGGGATGTTGACTTGATCAGTGCTCCCGCCCCGACTGTCTAAGTGGAATAACACTGCAGGTGTCCTGGTCCTGGTATTTGGATATGCTAAGACAGAGCACACTCTACTCAGGGCGTGTGTGGGCATGTATACAGTCCTGTCTCACTGGGGCTTATTGTTGCAATTAAGGTGTTCTATCCAGACGAGACGAAAGGAATTTTTATTTAAACATGAGAAAGAGACAGAAAAAGCCCAACAAGATTGAACATGAGAGGCCTTCCTAGTGTTAGTTGTGGAAAAATTAAATGAACAAATTGGCCTGCCAAATAAGAACATAGTTGTAGATTGGCATCTTGGAAACAGAGTAATGGAACCTTATCAATTGGATCTGATTGATAAGAAAGTTACTAGTCCAATAGAAAGGATGAGAAGAGGGATGGGGCAACAAGTGATAGAGACATGGTGTTAGGAATGGCATAACCATAAAAAAAATAAAAATTCCATGAGGAATAACTGGAAATTCTGTTTAGAAATCAGTTACCTGTATAATCAAATAACAGTGGGGAGATGCTCTGGATCGACTGGGAAGGACAATGAGATTTCAAGAAATGTGAAGTGACACAGTGAGCTCCAAAATCATGCAGGGTAGCAATGTTGGGGGAATGTAATTACCTCAAGTTAGATGGGCAGAACACTTTATTAGAATAAAAAGAGGAGGTGAATTTTTAGACATAAAACACTATGACAAGGCAGTCAGGGACCTATAGGAAAAGGAAATTCTGCATTTGATCCTTACAGGTAAATAGGATCACTCCAGGGAAGTTACACTGCTGTTCAGTTTTTGAAAAGAGAACCGTGAGAGTGCTTCCTAGGTACTAACTGCCTGGGAGAATACTAAGAACCTTGAAGAATGTTTGTATAACTGCGTGTACAGAGGGTTTGTGATTCCATTCCTTCATGTACTACTCCTGATAATGTTCTGAGAGGGGGCCATCTCAGCTGTTCAAGAGAGGAACAGATTCATTGAGATGAGCGACTTGTTGGATGTCCTGCAGCCTCTGTTGGTAGGAGCCAGGATGTAAACCCAAGTTCACTTTTTCTACACTGCTCTCACCTGTAATAGCAGCTGTGTAGGCCTTTCCCGAATAGATTAAGGATAAGAGGATCAGTCATCTCTGAAGCATTTGCTTGGAAGCCCTCAATTTACATCACTACTTACGCACTGGGGTATACTTATTCCTTCTCTAGGGTTTAGAAAGGTAATGATTCTATATGGAATCATATTTTTGTTATTGAATATTGAATTAAAACATTTTAAATGTAGAATGAGCCCAGTTTTACAAAAATAAATTTTATATGTAAACAAAGGAAAAGACTAGAAATAAATACATCTTTAAGTGGATTATAAGTGATTTTTTTCTTCATATTTGTATTTTTCCAATTTTATACGGCAAGCATTATATTTTCTACAAGCATAAATATGTATGTGTATATATGTGTGTATGTGTATATAATAGTATATATTTAGAAAAAGACTCTTTCGTTACGAACAGTTTTGGTCCTTTTTAAAAATAAAGCTATAAATCTGTCATGCAATTTAGAAGAAAGAATTACCACTCCAACTTCAGACAATTGTGTGCAATCTTTTGATATCACTTCTAGATCTGTGTGCATTCTAAGTTAAATTAAATGGAGGCTCTGGATTTTAAATCAGAAAACTTGGATTAGAATTCGGACTCGGCTGCTCACAGTGGTATTTACTTAACTTACCCAGTTTTTGAAAACTGTGAAGCACTGATGATATTCAATGCCATCGCCGCAGGTCAGGTTGGTGGGCTTCAGGGCAGTTGCGCTGAGGGCAGCTGCAGTACGTGGACCGCTCGCTCTCCCTCTCCCTCTCCCTCTCAAGAGGTCAGCGGGCCTCCCCTAGACAGCCTTACCCTGAGCGCAGGAAGCTGCGCTTCCTCCAGGGCACCACGTGGTGGCGCCTTTTGACATCTCCAGCCTCATAGTTTAGGTTTTCTCCTTTACATCATTTTTTCTTCATTCTGAATTTTAAGGCCGTTCCCCAACTCCCTTCCAATTTCCCCTTTTCATTAGGAAAGCAATTCAGAGAGGAAGGTAACAGTACCCAATTTCACCTTCCATGTTAAAAAAATGAGTATTATTTTAGTCTTTCAGAGATTAAAAAATTCTTACTTCTGTCAAAAGTGTTGGTTAGGGGTGGAGATGGGCTATATTTTGCTTTGCTTTTTAATGAGTTTATTATGTTGGAGCATTAGTCATCTTGTGGGATTAAATGAATTTCCCACCAATCAGGCTTAAATAACTCACATTTTTGATAAAACCCCAAAGTCCAGCTGATTCATGGCAGAGATTGTTTGGGTTTGAAACATATGGTGGTTTAAAAAAAAAAAAACACTGAGTCCTCAACCACAAATACATCAGCATTTCAAAGGTTTCTAAAATGTTTGATTCATCACTGCCTCAGCCCCTGAAATTACACAATATGTTCCTCAAAGTCAAGATAATCAAGAAAGGAGAAAAGTTTTAATTTACAAGATTTAAAAATATGTTCCTTAGTTCATTACACAGCTGCCACCTTATCTGAATTATACTTATGTTAAACACTGTCGGTTCTGGTTGTCCATACGTGCACGCATGCATGCACACGCGCGCACACACACGCACACCACTGCAGGTATGAGTTGAATATAAAAAGCAAATATGAATAAGGGACCTCATTTGAACTGTCTTATTTACAATGGTATTGCACCCTAGGGGGCCCTATTTGAAGTGGCACATCTTCTGTTTTACCTGTATTAATTACTGATGTGGCCTTATCTCCCTCCTGCCTTGGTATTTTCAAGGCTCTGTTTTGGCTATGTTTATTTTATAACACATGACACAGGGTAGTCTGCTGGCCACAACTGTGAACTTTAAGATTTAATTTTCTAGTTCTACGTATCAGAAGACTAGTATGCCGTGGGGTAAATCACTTAGCCTTTCTTTGTTTCAATTTTTTCCACTTGACCAAGTAAGACTCTTTATTTTCTTTTGGAGATTTTTTTCCCCAAAGAATTCACTAAATAATGTATAAGACTTGAAGGTGGTGTTTTTAGGGGGACTAAAGCAGAGTATTTCCTTTGAGAGGAGAAAATGGCCCATTGTTGAAGCATAGGATGAGATTATGATTCTAATTTATTCTCTTTGAACCTAATGGTAAATGCTGCTTGCTGTACAATATGGTCCTTAGGGCATTTCCTCTAACCAAACCTTTCCTTCGAACAGCTGGCACCTTTTGGACTGCTAAAGAGAGATTCCCCCACCCCTCACCCCATAGATCTAGGGCTAAATTTTATAATTTGGGAGAAAGCGATGGTCAGCTGAAGTCCCCTGGTCATGACTAACTTCCACCAATAGCCGGTCTCCAGATCTTGCACGATGCCTCCCCACCTACTGCCCGGTAGAACCAGCTTGCTCCTCTCAGTTATCAGTCTCAGTGACTGACCATAATTTGGATCCACCTGAGTTTTTAAAGGGAAAATTCTGTCTCTTCCTGATTGTGCATTAATTTATTCATTTATTTATTCAGTGAATATTTACTGAGTTTCTCCTTTGTGCTAGGCATTGTGTTGGGGGTACCAAGATGATTAAGACTTTGAAATGCTTTGAGAGAAACATGAATATGTGTGTGTGTAAATACTCATATACATACATACACTACACACATATGTATATAATATATAGCGTGACTACAAACAGTACTAGTACAAGCAGGAACAGAATGTTACAAGTTAGTGAATCTGCTATAAAACTCCAGAACTTCCCTTCAGAATTGGATTGGAACATCATTCAATCTAACCAGGGGAAAGTGATCTACTCAACCCCACATAATTAGATAGTGAAAGAATATGGATCAGAACCCAGGCTTTTGACTTTTGAATTTTCTTTATTGTTGTGCCCAAATGCCTCACAAAAGACAGACAGCCTTTATGGCCCGTTACCTACATTTTAGTCAAAATGAGAACATAAAATTTGTATTTTGATGATAATTTTCTGTTCTGTTGTTTTCACTTCTAATTGTTTACAAACAAGCACCATTTTTACTTACACGCTAGAGTATGACCTGATAGAGAAAGTAGAAACTTCGGGTTTAGTAGAAAAGGGAGGTAAAGAGAAAACTAACTTTTATTGAGCAGTCAGGCACTGTGTTTAGATACCTTGATCTCTGCTCTCACACTTAGTCCCTTTAACAGCCTCTTGAGGTCCGTGGTGTTCTCATTTTTACAGATGGACAGACTGGACACACCCAAAGTCATACACTTGTTACCTGGTCAAGATTAATGACCCACCCAAAGTCATACAGTTGTTACCTGGTCAATTTCGACTCATCCTTAGGTGTCACCTCCACTGCTCCCCTCTCCGATGTGCACAGCATGGGGGAGCTTTCGCACTTACTTTCGTGGTATTGGATCCTCTGTTTCCTAGCCTGGGTGAGCTCCGTCAGTGCCGAGCAGTATGTGCGTTGCTCACCTTCATCCCTCATCATGAGGAAGGCCCATACATTTTGACAAGATCCAGCTGGGATTCAAATCCAGTTCTCACTGTTACATGTAATCTCCCTGTATAAAGTTCTCTGAGATCCTCTTTGAAAAGGCAACATAGACAAGCCAAATATCAAACATTACCTTCTATCCTTGTCTATGTAGTGGGTAGGGGGAAAGGTCATTGGAAATAGCTGGGAAAATTGGGAATTAATTAGTTTATGTATCCATCCTTCTGTCCATTCTTTGGTTCTTTCTTCAGTATAGGTGGCAGGTCACTGATGGGCACAGCACCAGTAGACTTGGAGCCTAGAAAATGTGTCTGGTCAGAGATAGAAGGCAGCAGTGTAATGCCTCGGACCTCACTGTGGAGGGCCTGAGGTGTCCATTAACTAATTCCCAGTTCCATTTCACCCCTTCCACAAAGGCGCGACAGCAATCAAGGAAGGGCAGGAGATGGCCCACAGAGGAAAATGCAGAGATGCCGTTTGTGTACCATGTATCAACTCTGAGTGGCCCAGCTTTTTGTTTTGTTTTGTTTTGAACCAAATACATGTCTTCTGAAATGTGTGTTTTTTCTGATGAGGATTTTTAGGAGGTTTGTAGTCACTCATGAAATAGATCAAATTCGTAAAATAGATCAGATGACCTTGTTTCCATCCTTATTTGCTGCCAAATCAGTGTGTTACTACTTGCACTTGCAAAATTTCTGGACATGCAGCTGAAGGCACAAGGTTCTCGTGGAACAGTTGTCTTTGCAGTGAAGGGGACCAGGAGGTGGGAGGTGAAGCTGGCAAGGCTTATGCAGTGCCTCTTCCCGTTTTCTCCAGACCTCCTCTGCTTATCTCACACTTTGCTGGACCATGCACAACAGGGTGGGTAAAGGATAAAATTGCAAACAGAAATTGTATTTGCTATTGTTTATTGAAGCCAAAATTCTTAGTATGATTTTATGAACCCGACGTACATGACAACTGAAATGAGAAAGAGAGATTTTAAGAACACCATAAGCATCTTTACAGTCATGGGTGTTGGGTGGAGGGAGGACCATGCAGCATGTGTATGTGTGTATTCTTTTTTAAGTTGTATATAATCAATGTCTCCACCCTCTCCAAAAAGACCAGAACTGATTAGAAGAAGAAAAAAGACTAACCTGATGCACAAGATTCTGGATGCATGCCAAATACTAGAGTGAAAAAAATTTGGCATCTGACTGAAAAGATACCAACCAACCATTTGATTTCTATGGTTGAACACTCTCAAGATCTTGCATTCCTTTATTTCATTTAAAATATTGTTCCCTGAAGTGCAAACTGACTTCAATTTTGAATAAAATTTAGCATTCAAATTTATAGCCACTTTGAAAACTAAGAGTTTATTTATATCATATGAACCCGAACAGATTCTTAATTGCAGCAGCCCTGTTGCACGTGGAGAATCTGGATCTAAAAAAAAAAAAAGAAACTTCCATGTAGGTTTTTCCACATTTTTGGAATGCTTTCATAGCAGCCATCATTTATGGGAAATGGTATTAAAATCCTGCCGTATTGCAGTTTAAATTTAAATGCACTGCTTCCCAGAAGAGATTTCAGTGTATCCTATAAATGCACTAAAAGGGTTTTTAGGTTTTGTAGATTTTTTTCTTCTCTTGCAAGCCTAGTTCTATGGAGAGAGATGATGGTTCCTTCGAGTGATCTTTGTGTGTTAACAACCTGTGCAGGGAGCTCGTCTCTTGCTCGTTTTAGCGGGCAAAAGTCATCTTTGTTTGCGTGAAAGAAAAGGTCTGATTGAACTAGGGTGAGCCTTTTATTTTAAGAAGAGTTAAAGTCTCGGGTGTTTTTAATGTTTTAATCTCTGTTTAAGAGGTTTCTGTTGCAAGAGGAAAATTGATAACATTTTTACCTCAGCAAACTGCCAGCAAACTGGCTCTGCTCTAATCCCACGTTTATAGTGATTTATATTCTCCGTGGCAATGTGCTGTAACCTCAGAGTGATACCACTGTGGTGTAGATTGACTGCATTCCAAATGCTGGAATCACATACATAATGTTTTTACTTTTAAATAATATTCAGACACCAGAATAAATACCATATGTGCACTGATGCTGGTTACAATGGAACCCTGTCATTTCTTGTGAGGGAGAACATTCTTTGTTTCTGATTCCTGTTTGAAATAAGTATGCAAAAGATAAATATGTACATTGACAGCATTTTGAGAAGGCTTAGGTAATTACACAGCTGAGATGTAACTACAGTTCCTTGAAATATAGCATTTAAGACTGAAAAGTTTGCTGTGTTGCCACCACCCCTCTTTGACACACATGAAGGCAAGGATTTTTATCTTACACCCCCAGTGTAGGGTATAGTTTTTGTATTTCATATCTACAGCGTACTGTAGTTAAAGGACATCTGTTGAAGAAAAATTACCTCCGTGAGCACTGTTCATAGGAACCGTGAGACTAACATGCTGATGACATGGTAACAGGGAGAGTAACACATGTGATCATGAGCAGGGATGGATTGATTGGAAAGCCATAATTCAAGGTGAGACCTAATATCATCTGATGCCACAAGAGCAGAATTTAGGTGGCCTGACATCATCAAAATACAGATAATCAATCTCTCCAGATCCATTTTTTCCCCACGTGATAGTGAAGATTTAAAAGTTTCATAAAGTTTAGAAATACCTCCCAAGTCATACATTTTTAGATTTTTGTTTTTATCCATCTTGGTTGGAATTCTGATCCACCTAGATGTATTTTTTAAATCGACGTGGTAGAATGCCTTTCATATTTGTACATCTGTAACAGGCTCCAACAAGTCAATCCACATTTGCTTCTTGGGGAAGCATTTCAATCCAGGTTTGCATTATTACCATCAGTTGAGCTATAGTGAATTAGTGCTTATGACATTTTAATAATATTTTGTAGATGAGGAAACCCTGGGCATTGGAATTGATGGCTTCCCTACTCCTCTGCACCCCCGCCCAGTTTTGTGAGGTTTGCCCAGAATATATAGTGTGAGATTAACGTGTGAGTCATGCATCATAATGCATCTCTGACAGTTTATCTGGCACATGACTCAGAGTTTGGGTAAGTCTTGCATCCTTTCTGGGAGTTATTTGTAGAAGTGTTCACCGTTATAAAAATGCACAAAAGTCCCTTTTTGAAGTTGAGAAGATATGAGACAAATATTGAACCTCTAATGTAATGTCTTTCCTTTTCAGCTTTTCGGATGATCCCCTATCCCTTGGAAAAGGGGCATCTGTTTTATCCTTACCCAATCTGTACAGAAACAGCAGACCGAGAGCTGCTGCCCTGTAAGTCTCACCTTTGCATTCCCCTCTTCAGCCAGTGAGGGTGGGGATGGGAAGAGGTGGGGATGAGAAATGTTTATAATGTCCCTTGCCTTTTATTGCTCTCCTCCCAAACCCTGTCCTCATTTGATAGCATATGCATTAAAGTGAGTTATGTGAGTGGGTTTGGCTTCCTGCCCCTGCAAGTCTTTCCCAATTCGTCGAAGGGAAAGACCCCAGAGGACTGCAGTTTAAATGAAGAGACATCATATACTGGTTGGACTGAGCACAGAGACCCCTAGTTTGGGGCTGATGTTCGCTGGGCTGGTCCACTGTGCACAGTTCTTCCTGAGCTCCCTAGCTGGTCAGATGCAGTCTGCACAGACTGGAGTTTGAAGAGGAAGCACTGACTTCAGAGGGAGCTGCAGATGAGTCACGGATGGGAGGGCAGCACCAGGACGCTGGCATCATTGCCAGAGGCGGAGTCGTGGGGAAGGGCGGGTGCTCTCTGTGGTGATGCAATGCTCTTGGCCAGAGGGATTTCCCGTGAGCATCTCGTGGATTGCACGTAGTGCGTTGATGTAACATGTGCAGAGCACACGTGCAACCTCAGCGCTGTATCCAGCACAAAGAGGGGAACCCTGCCCTCGACTACTTTATGAGCTAGCAGTCTGCTGGCCTACACCACATGTGGAAAGTATGATTTGGTTTACTGTAATACAACATTGTTTTGACAATTCCTGCTAACTAGTTATTATCAAGTCGTACTGTGCACAGGGATCGTGTCCAGCCTCTTCATGTGGCCCTGACTTAGGACATATTTTTCTCCCTCAGATAATAAGCTCCGAATTTGGCTATTCTCTCTTCCCCATCCTCTCTCCTGCCACCCACTCCTCTTTACCAGCCCCAGTTATATCATAGCTCATAGCTATAACATATTTAAATGCTTTTCCAGAGGAATAGTGTAACTTTGGAGCCCTGGGTACATAGTAAATTGTCCAATGCCAACCTTATGGAGCCAGTCATAAATCTCCAACGTGGTGGGGTCTGGGTGCAAAACAAGTGGCTGTCTCAGACTGAAGGAGCAGGAGGGAGCGCACTTGTCTCCTTGCTTCCAGGCCCAACGTTAGATTTGTGGCTTAGCGAACTGGGAGATCCCAGTGATGCGTTCTTCCTCGTTGTCTGAGGTTTGTTGTGGAAAAGGGTCTGGTGCCTCACACTACGTTAGGTTTGATTCCAGAAATCCCTGTTACGGGCCCATACTTTACCTTTTGACTCCCCCTTCAGGGAGATCCTTGTTAAAGTTTCCATTTTCTGGTAAGAAAGGCCGTTTTCTGAAAAGTACACTTTTAAAATGTTTTAATTGAGTCCAATTAAGTTTCCATGGAGATAGATTCACTATTAGGACAAGATTACAGTTCTTAAAAGAAATTTTATGGGAATAATCTTTATAAGCCTGAAATAGAAAATTATAGGTCACACTTATTTAATTGGATGCAGTTGTCCGAGTCTGATCTCCCCTCGCAATCCTTTGGGGGTTGGAGGTTGATGGTGAGGATGGTGAGGATATAGAGAGGGTCGGTTACTTTAAATGCTACCCACATTTTGCACATTGAAAGTGTCGTCGTTGCCACAGTCGGCCCTGCGCACTCGCATCCTGCCTTTGAACCCTAGTGGGGAGACTTCCCTGGATTCAGGTGCACCTGCTTATTTGTGCTTTGTCCCTCCCTGCTCCTCTCCTCCCTCAGTTTCAGCAAAGTGGATTAGTGTTCAGGGCTCTAAGTCATGCGAGCTGCATGGCTGAGGAAGGGCCTTTAGATCTTGGATTTCCTGAGGAAAATGGAGCACTTGGTCCTTCTTGGAGCACTTGATTGAGTGGAGTATCGCTCACATGCAGTGTCATGGCTCCCCGCCACCTGGGCCCCCACAGTTGGTGTTTTCTTCTGCACAGGCCAGCCCCTTTCTCCCCTGATCAGCACGCCCACTGGCCCAGGTCACAGACAGCCACACCTCGAGCAGAAAGCCGGGGAGTCCATTCCCTCGGCTTTTCTGCCACAGCTTTGTGGTTTCCCCAAACTCAATGTTTGAAATTTAAAAGTTATGAAAGGTGCTCTAAAGAGCACCAGTTATTTATTTTTTTGGTGGTTATTGGAAGTATATTTGTCATCAAGAATCTCCTACAATTTTGCCAGATGACCCTCACAGCCTTGCTCCCCAACCCTTGAAGATTGAGTGGCCCAGCTGAATGTCTCTGGCAAGGCGGCACCCTCCATCGACATACTTAGAGTGTTCCAGGAAAAAAATACAAGATAAACTATTATCACCCATATAATGATTAAAAAATTAGAGGAAGGTGAAAATCTAGAGAGAGAATTTTTTTTTCCAGTATACTTGATTTTGGATTTTCTGGGTTTTATACAATGAACATGTGTTTTATAATTGGAATAAAGGTTTGTTTTTCTGTCTGCTTTTGATAAAGGAATACTGTTTATTAGGCATAGCTGGTGTTACTGTCCCTGCCCATGAATGTGTGACATTCCCATGTTAGCCCTATCATGCCCCTAGGTAGAGTGCCGAGGGTTGAGTATGGACTCGGGAGAAGCAGATAGGCAGCCAGAGGCTGGCTCAAGTGTTGGCTCTGGTTTGTTCAAGTGCCTGCACTTTTCATTTCCAACAGGCTTCAGCCAAAGCTCTGAAGAGTCAGTCCCATGTGTAGAAACTTCCCTGAGAATGCGTTTTATTCCAGCCCTAATAATTCCCTTTTGATCTTCTCCACAGCTTTCCATGAAGTCTCAGTTTACCCAAAGAAAGAGCTTCCCTTCTTTATTCTCTTTACTGCTGGACTGTGTTCCTTCACAGCCATGCTGGCCCTCCTGACACATCAGTTCCCAGAACTTATGGGGGTCTTCGCAAAAGCTGTGAGTATTTGCCTAGAGGAAGGCCTCTGGGAGGGGCAGGGAAAGCCAAGGGGGGGCAGCAGGAGAGAGCTGAGGGAGTGTCGTGTAGAAATGGACGTGCCTCTATTGATCATTTGCTCACTGTTTAATTTTCATTATCATCAGTGGGATCGAAAGGTTGAAGGTCAAATGAGAAAGTGTAGGTTGTTTGTTAATGCATGCCTTGCCTCATTTCGCACAAAAAAAATTCTTTTTCCAAAAAAAGCATGAGATCTAAAAGGATTAAATAAATAATTAAGAGAATCCTAGCAAATGAAAAACGTGTGGGAAATTGTTCAGTTTTGTATAAATTGAATGACGTTATTTCTCATCTTTAGAATTGTGGGTCTTTCCTTCAAGAAGGATGAGATTTACATGTTCAAAAATTTAAATAAAAAAATTTTAATGGCTACAAACGTTTGGCTTGTTTGGAGAATGAAGTGAGAGGGTGTGAAGGGCTTGTAGTATTAAAAAGTATACAGACATAACATATAGAAATATGGAAAGCCAGTAAGAGTCTTTAAGAAGGGGTGTGGAGAAGAGCTTTAATAAGAAAAGCCATTTGTACTGACAGCCAAGAACCATTGTTTCCTTGTTGAAAACTGACCATTTCAAACTGCACTTGCAGTGAGGATAAATTTACTGATTTTGCCACAGATGAGTTTCAAACAGAAGGAATAAGGAAAAGTGTATCAATTATTCCCCTGGAACTCCATTCTGATTTCAAGGCGAATGGAGTCAGAAAGCATGATTTCTAACTTGGCTGGGTTGATTTAATCCCTTTCCAGATGATTGACATTTTCTGCTCGGCAGAGTTCAGGGACTGGAATTGCAAGAGTATTTTCATGCGTGTTGAAGATGAACTGGAAATCCCACCGGCACCTCAATCTCAACATTTCCAAAACTGAACTCATCACCCTTCTTCCCCCACCACCAAAACCGCTCTTCCTCCTGTATTCCTGACCTCCGCCAGTGGCACTGCCATCCGCTCAGTTGCTCAACCAGAAACTCAGCAGCCCTCCCAAGCTCCCTCTCTCCCTCCCCACATCCCGTCTGTCTTGGCTTCCACACCCTGTCGGGCCTAACCTCTTAAGCCACTACATTCAGTAAATATAATTCACGTCTTCTTCCCCTCCTTCTCTCCCCGTGGCCTCTCTTAGTTTAGATCTTCATTATTTCTTGCCTGGCCTCCTGCAAGAGTCTTCACTGGTCTCTTTGCTTCCAGTCTTATCCTCTGCCAGTCTTTTTCTCCTACTGACACAAGAATGATCTTTCTAAATTGCAAGTCTAAGCATGTCACTTCCCTGCTTGGATTTCTCCAGTGGTTTCCCACCATCTTCAGGATAAAGTCCCAGCTCTTTAGCATAGCATGCAAGGTCCTTTATGATCTGGCCTTGCTTGCCTCTTCAGTCTCATCCCTCCCAACTTTTGCACAGACACTACTCTTGGGCCATAGTGAATTACTCACCATTCCCAGATGCACCAGGCTCTTGTGTAGCTCAGTGCCTTTGCACGTGCTGTTTGCGCTGCATGGAATGCCCTTTCCCATCACCACCCTGACTTGTCCACTCTACTAATGCCTCTTTGTTCTTTTATACTCAGCTTTCTTTCTAAGTTTCTCCTAAGCTGAGTTAGATGTCTCTCCTCCATGATCCCACAGTATTCCATGAATACTTATATTATCACATTTATTGTATTGTACTATAATTGTTGAAAACTTGTCTGTCTCCCTTTTAGAATGTGAGCTCCTTGAGAGCAGAACTATGTCTTCCTTATCTCTGTATCCCCAAAGCTTTGCACAGTAACTTGCACATAGTAGGTTTTCAATAAATGATTATTAAATAAATAAATGGTAGTGGTTTCTGCAGAAAGAATCAATGTAAAAATCAGATACAGCTTAGCATCTCTTCTCTTCTTTTATAATTATGGACTCAGAATTGAAAGGTACCTTAAACAGATTGCCTTCAACAGTAACATGATGGAGGTCATCTGGACTCATCTTCAATACTTTCACAATGGGGAGTTCACCTATTCAACAGGGAAGCCCATTTCATTTTTGGATCACTCGGATCTCTTCTTTATACTGATAAAAGCTACCTCCCTGTAATTTTCACTTATTGTTCCTGTTCTACCCTCTGAAACTATAGTGAACAAGTCTACTTCCTCTTGCAAATTCTTAAGACAGCTAATATATTCTTGGCCACCTCTCACCTCTAACTTTCTACCTTCTATGTTCCCTAGGCAGAATATCTTAAATTTCCTTAAGTCTTCTGTACATGATATGATTTCTAAACCCAGTATCACCCAAGTTGCCTCCCTGCATGCTCCCTAGTTAATGGACCCATGCTTTTTATTATTTTCTTCTATTCTCAAGTCAACTTCTAAGTAAAAGTAGTTGCCAAAAGTCTGAGTAGATTAGAGTGTAACTTAGTAAAATTTAAAATAAGAATACATTTACAACATTAGACAATTACTGTTCCTCCTTTTATGTTCCTCTCTTAAACTTTTTTTTAAAGCATATCTGTAGAAGTCATTGTCATTGGCCTAGTATTCTTCATTATATGAACAAATAGCACTTGGTGGGAGTTTTGCATCAGAACAGAGCTTCTCAGCCTCTAGCGTGCATAAAATTCACCTGGCCCCGCCACCAGAATCTTGAGTGCTAGCACCTGGAATCTGTTTTTAGTAAGGACCCCAGCAGATTCTGAGGATGGGGGTTGAGGACCACGTTTCCTTTCAGGAACACCAATCTCAAGAAAGCCAAAACTTTGAGCAGCCTTTTGCAGGTAGATGGTGTGCTGTCAGAGCTGGTGAGGCGAAAGCTTTCTAGGAATCAGTGGTTTCGCCCTGGCTGCACCTCGGAATCATCTAGGGAGCTTAAAAATTACTGATGTCTGTCCTCCCTCCCCACGGGGACTCTCACTTAATTGATCTGGGGCACAGCGTGGGTATCTGAGTTTTCAGACGGTCCCCAGGTGATGTGGGGGTGCAGCCAGGGCTGAGAACCACTATACTGAATGAAATGACTAATTGCCTAAAACTGCCTTAACCAGGGAGCAGATTGGGAAGAATGGAGGACATTACATAGCATATGACTGGGTGTTCTCCACGAACGGCTGCACAGCCTCCAGAACATCGGAGAGTGTGTTCATTACCTATGTTAGACAAACGGCCACTCTCCTCATTTAATGTTTCCAAAGCTTTGGTTTTGCGTCTAGGATCAAGTGATTGAATAAAATATAAACTTGCCTTTACAGTCTTCATATTTTATTCTCTACCAAGGTGTGGTGTTTTGCTTGGTTACTCATATTTTTCAAATGTAGTTTAGATAAATTTGCTTTTAAACCTCTGTCTGGAGGATCACATTCATCTTGCTTTTCATTAAGATTTAGCAGTTTCCAAAATGTCTGGAGGGACTTCATGGGGAAGGAAGATGGATGGCCTGAAGGAGACAAGCCCCATCTCTCGCCTGCTCCCCCCCACCCCGCCCCCAGAGTCTTCTCCACATTTTCACCCTTGCCACTTCATTAGGCCCCTCATGAAGCCCCCACAGGTTACCACAGCCACTCTATAGGCTGCCTGCAACCATTTGCAGCTTGTGAAAATGATTTTCTCAGCCCTCGTCTGAGATAACGGCCCTGGGATAATGACTTTTAGTAGATGCGGAGAGATTGCACTGCCACCCTCCAGGCCACAAGCAGCTTGGGAACTCTCCAGCGTGTTTACATGTTGATATGCAGCCAGCAAGGCAGGCCACAGTGGAGTGTGAACCACTGGAAAATAGTAAAATGAGAGGCTTCAACTGGCTTTCCTCCCTAATCTAATCTACCTCAATGACTTAGGACTAACTCTTCCTAGAATGTTTAGTTACCAAGATAAGGTTGCTCATATAAAGAAGTTATCATTCCAAACCCAGCCCCTCACAGAATGTGGGAATGTCAGCATTCTGACCCCTTCTGCTTTGAAGGGCCCTGTCTTTCCTCCTCTGGTCTCTCTCCTTCCCTGAGACGGAGCCCCCTGACTTCTGACTCTCATCTTCACTTATAGGCCCTGACCTCTTTGAAGTCTGATATTGATTACAGTGAAATGTCAATTGTCTCATTGCAATAGGGCACCTGGAACTTATTCAGATAAGCAGAGGCGTTTTGAATGTTAACGAAGCACGTTGGGAGCCATGACCTTCTTCTAAATAATGGTGTTTGGGGAAAAGGAGGATCAGGCGATTGAAGTGTCACTCTCTCTTTTTTATTAGTTCAGTTGCTTTTTCTCACCACAAGACACTGATTGAATTATGGTGCATTTTGGACCGTGTATCTCTGCCCTCTGGACAGAAGTTTTAGACATTGAGATAGATGAGCTGTTCCAGGGTTGCCTGGTGTTGCTCATTCAGACTTAACTTTTCAGGCAATAAATTTCCCAAGTCTATGAGTGAAACTGCTGTTTCTCTGTATGCATTGGTTGAGTCTCTGGCCAGAGTATTGACTGATTTTCAAACGTGAAGAAATGTAAATCAGCATCCCAAGCAAGGCAGGTTCCACCAAACTTTCTTTTTTTTAATACCTCCTGATGAAAGCCACTGACCTTTATCGGGTTACTAAGTGAAAGGGTTTAGCAGCATCAGATGACTCGTCACATTGTCTGCCTCTTCCCTGTGGCTGAGGGGTGGGGAGGGGGATGTGGGAAGGGGTGCTAAGGAGGAAGGTAGCTTAGTAATCAGGGATGCACACCTCAACTGAGGTGAAAAGGTTCAAGGGATTCTTTTCTCACTTCTCCCAAGGATAACACATTCTAGATGTGAGGGAGAGCAGTAAATCATCACGTATATTGGAGGCATTGGGACTTAACTCTCTTGTGGAACCTTGTTGAGAAGGGCAGGTATAGTCGAGGAAGGCAGGGCCCACTGTATCCTGCTGTGCAGTGTGGGAAGAGAGGCAATTACAGGCATCAAACAGGGTGAGGCTCACCTTGATTTCCAGAAGCCTCACTTTTCCACTTTTTATCAAAATGAGGTCAGTGCCCAAAACAAAGCAAACAAACAAACAAACAGGTATTTATTTGAACCAACTTTGCAACAACATCTCCATTCATTCTGCTGCCAAGCTGAGACTCCCTGATATCCCCTCGTTTTAGTGCATGAAGTCGCCCAGAGTGCAGACTTTGAGTGATGCCTTTCATCTGACTGCACTGGTTCATGCTAATACTTCACTGGTTCCTTCCCGCATGAGTCACAACTTTGGCAGTTCTAAATCTGTTTTTGGTCAAGTCTTTTGGATATGATAACTTCACCAACAATATCACCTTGTTCCTTGAGCCCCATCTTCCAGCCCTTGTCAGAATCTGGTTTATCCAGACCACTTCAACACCTCGCTTCTCTTTATGGAACTGAGTGTTAGAGGCAAATGCTGTGTTTTATGGAGCCTTGGTGGTCTCTGATTACATATAAATGAGTAAAAAGATATATATGTGTGTGTGTGTGTGTGTGTGTGTGTGTGTTATATATATTTTTAATTTTATAATGTATCATGTTGGGTTAATGCAATCAGTAGATTTGTTCCACATTATCTTCTCATAACCAGGATTTTACAAACTCTTTCAGAGGCAGTTTGGGAAGTACTTACTCATTCCTGGGCCCAGTATCTCCCATGATGCCTTCCAACTGCATTCAACTCTAAACTGAAAAGGATAGGCAGTCCGTTCTGTAGGGTGAGCATCTCAAGTGGTTCTGTGCACTCACCAAAGGATAATTTCAGAAGGTTACCAGAAGTTGCCATATATCTAACACCCACTTGAGGAAAGAGCCATCCACCTTTGCTCAAGTACTAACATGGCTCCTATTTCTTAACTGCAACCCAGCCTAGCCTTTAAGGCCCTCCCTAGCATTCTTTCTAGCACTTTTGAACTCTGCCTCTATCTCTCCAGCCAGCTCAACTATTTATTATCGTCTGGTCATTCCAGCTGCTTTCCCATTTCTGTTCTGTTTATTGAGCCTGGAGGGCCCACCTGCTCATATTTCTTTCCTTACCATCCTTACCCCATCTCTATCTTTGATATCGCAGCCATCCATTGGGGTCTATTTCAGTTGCCTCATTTTAGGTGTTTCCTGATCCTTTGAACACAATGCATTCTCTCCCTTTTCTGAACCTTCCTGGTGCTTTGTTTGTGCTTCTTTCTTCTGTTTCATCGTGGTCTCTCTGGTATTATTACTTGGCTGTGCTCAGGTCTTAGTGCCTCCCGCAGCATTTGAGCTTGCTGACAGTGGGAGTTTTGTCCTAGACTCCTTTATATCTCACCCAGCACTTAAGTGCCTTACTGAGTAAATATATTTAATTGATGTAAAAGACTCAACATAGAAAAGGATTCCAAATCTTATACTATCTTGAGTTTCCTTATACAAATCTCACACCTGATGGTCCAGCTCTACTGTGTGACAGGGCTTCCAAGTTTGTATTCTACTGGTTCTTAAAAAAAAAAAGAAGAAGAAGAAGAAGGCGGGGCCAGCTCCGCGGCCGAGTGGTTAAGTTCGCGCACTCCACTGCCACGGCCCAGGGTTCGGATCCTGGGCGCAGACATGGCACCGCTCGTCAGGCCACGTTGAGGCGGCATCCCACATTCCACAACTAGAAGGACCTGCAACTAAGATATACAACTATTTACCGGGGGGGGTTGGGAAATAAAGCAGAAAAAAAAAAAAGACAAGATTCTGAGGTCAAGTGAATTTGTGAAACTTGCCTACCATACCCCTTCTTGAAAACCTGCAGTCCATGGAACATGGGACCAGTAGAGGCACCCGTTCTAACTTCATTAAGTGCACTGTCTAATAATTTCACTACAGAACCATGTTTCCCTCTGCATGTGTCCTTGTGTCCTACACTGTGCTTCTGTGGGAAATTCTTGGTGGAGTAGACAGTGCTGTGCTAAGGACAAAGGACAAAGGACTCCACAGTATGAGAACCAGGTATTGAACCCTAGCAAGATGATACCTTGGTTGTGAACAGACAGCGAGCAAGGAAACTGTCCAAATACCCCTCTCGTGCTGGGCTTGGTTAGGGCACCTCTTCTGCCAGATGCTGGATGGTTTGTGGAATGAAGCTGAGTCTTCACAAAAACATAATCAGGATAGATTTGAGATTATGTTAGGTGTATCTCAGGCAAGGTACTTGGTTTTCTTAAAAGACACAGTTAACGAGCATTCTTCGCTACATGAAAAGCAGAAAGGAGTTTAGTAACCAAATGAAAGAGACCCCACAGATCTCCTCAGATCAGCACCTCTTCAACAAGGACGTGTCTTCCAGGGACTGGCCAGTTTGCTGTCCTCCCCCAGGCTCCCATGATGCACCACACCAAGCAGGTAGTTCAGAAATGAGCATGAGCTGCACAGGTTCTTGGGAGACAATAGGATCCCAAAGCAATTCACAACCATATAACAAACTTTTTAAAATTGTCTTTTCCACTTAAAGTGAGTTCTGTCCCCAGCTAGGCAAGTAGGTGGTCTAAGTTGTCCCCACTTTTTTAACTCTTCTGCCCACTTGCCACCATCTACCAATCCCTTTTGATGGCATTAGTCATCTGCATGGGCAGCCAGAGGATCCTGAAGACTAGTTAGTCGGAAGGCCTCGGAACCGTGGGCCAGCTATCAGAGCAGTGGAGAGGGCTGTCGGCAGACACTCCCCTTACCTGTCAGCACTGGGGGCGGGGGCTGGAATGCGGGTTTGATCATGCACCAATGTTTCCTGTAAACAAATGTGAACTTGCAGCCTTTTGAGAGTTCCACAGTGCAGAGACTTAGATGCAGGCATGGGTTGGAGAGGTTTGTTTTACAGCCTTCACCGAGATCTTTCCTGACTTCCCTGCGTTTCTGGTTTCTTTGCAGTTCCTCAGCACTTTGTTTGCCCCCTTAAACTTTGTCATGGAGAAAGTGGAAAGCATCCTCCCGTCCAGTCTGTGGCACCAGCTGACGCGGATCTAGGGACGCCCACCTGCCCTTCCCCTCACCTCACCCAGCGAGCTGCCACCATCTCTTCGTGCCAACTCCTCATGGACTGCAAGAAAGCATGACTTTGAAAAAGGGAAGCCATTCCGAGATTTTAAAACATTCATGGACTGTCTGTTCCATATTAAAAGCTGTTTTTGTTGTACAAAATTCATTGATGTTCAGTTCTATTATATTTTGCCTTCAGAAAAGAAAAAAAAGTCAAAAATAAACTTTTGTGTATTGCAGCAACCAGGTGTGTCTTCCTGTGTCTTCCAACCCTGAAAGTGTTGGTGTCCCAAGTAAACCTACAGGTTTATATTTAGTTTACTGACGACCCACGTCTGCTGAAGCCCACACGATGGTTTTCTGTGCTGCTGGCACTCCTCTCAGCAGGCCCTTAGGAGCCCTACAGTTAGTGACTCGGGAATGGAATCGCTTTGGCTTGAAAGTACCATCTTTTTCAGCCCCAAACTGCGTGTCCTCATAGCCCAAATGCGCAAAAAAAGCTTCCAAAACAAATGACAGGAAGCGTGAATGAAATGAGACATGTGTGTCATAACAGGTTGTTGCAGTTCAGAAGGTCTACTCATTGAATCAAACTCAACACTAGAGTTCTAGGAATCATTTTGGTTTTGCTTTCCGAAAATTTGTTGTGAGAAGAAAGCTTTTAACAAGAAGCCACAGACCCAACATTCTGGTGCAGAACCTGACCACTTTCCAACATTGCCATTTTTAAAATGTTTTCTCATAAGAGTACTTTTTTTGTTGTTTTTATCATGTTTGCATTCTTGATGCTTGAGTGTGAGCATTCTTTGAGTATTTTACTGATCTGAACCAAAACAGTCATTTGTCCTCGCCACCTTTAAAGCCTTCTACATGATTCACACCTGCCGAGCATCTGGCTTTACTTAGGCAAAAGAAGAAAAATAAATAACCTTGAATCCTCTATCTGAAGTGAAAAGTACCTCTATTTAAAATCTCAATCCAGTGCTTAAAAAAAGCGGGCTGTCCTTACATAGTTTGTTTCCCTTTTCTTTAGAATCCTGACTCTCCCCAGTGAGCGGTACACTAGGCAGCGTGTGGAGAAAACACCATGCCATGGCTCCTTCCCTGGTGGACTTCCTGCCAGCTCCTGGTCTTCATCCAACAGCAAAGGCAAGGGGGCAGGTCATGTTTAGGCGCACAAGGGTTTTTCATGCTTTTGGGCAGCTCTTGCTTCTCCCTCTTTTGTGCAAAGCCCTGACAGGGATGTGCAGATGGCTCCTGCTCTTCGGAAAGCATCTCGGAAGAGGTTCGACCCCTATACCCACACCAGTAGAGCTGCTCCTGGGGGCAGGGGCTGTGTCCGCCTTGTTGCCTCTTTGCCTCTTCTTCCCCCAACACAACTCTTGACCTGGAGTGGGTGCTCAAGTGATTTCTTGAACGATTTGATGCAATACACGATGGGTACAAATAAAGTTGTATGCATGTTCAGAGGAGAGAAGTTGGTTCCAGCAAAGAAGGGCCAGGGAAGGCTTAGAATTGTAATTTTGAGCTGGGAGAAAAAGTTGTAATTATCTAATGCAATTATTTGATTTAATAAATGGGGAAACCAAAGTCCAAAGAGGTTTTGACCTGTCTGAGTTAGGACTCTAGATAAGCCTTAAATGAGAGACTCGAGAGCTCATAGGCAATGGCCAGTGGAAATGGTCCAGTGTGAGTTGTTAGAGACCTTTGTTGCAGGAAATGCAGTAAAGAAATGTAATAAAGGATTTAAAAGCACCCTGGGAATTTGCTAATTAGGACTTCAGAGCAGTTTTATGGAGAACTGAGGCAGAAGTTAGACTTCAAAGGGTAAAAGGAGTGAATGGGAGAGGTGAAGGTGGAGAAAAGATAGTGACAGATGGAGACACAAGAGGGGATAATGGAGAGGAGTAGGGAGGAGCTAATCACATGAGGAGAAGGGAGATATCTTCTCTAAACCTGAGGGATGCAAGTTGTGTGAACTTAATAAACCTTTCACTTTATAACCCAGAGTCTCTCCAGACAGAGGCTGTGACCCCAGTGCTCCCCTTCTTCTGCCTCTCTCTTCAGCTTCCTCTCTCTTCAACCAACTCTTGAGAGCAACCGTGATGCCTCTTGGAGTTCTGACCTCCATGGGCCTGGATGCCGGGGAGGTGCTGTCTTCTGTGCTCCTGCCTTATTTTGCTGCCTCTGAGGACTAGCATTCAGGCACTTAAGGGTTTTATGCAAATCTGTGGAGAGGCAGAGGCAGAGCAACCAATAGAAGAGAGCAGTTTCTAAGATGATCATTTTCACAAGCTTCTTACGCTGGCTGAAGGTCCATGGTTCCTGACTTCTTAATTGAGATGGCAACTGGAACTCCAGTTGCTTTCCTGTCTTTTGCTTGTATTTCTATATGAGGGGCATCAAAATCCATTCTGATGGGCTTTCCTCTCTGAAGATCCCACCAGCAGCACAACAGGTATCCCTTAGCTTCAATTTATATGTGTATGTTGGAATACATATGCAAACATTCTAAATTAAATATTAGCAAATTGAATCTAGCAGTGTGTACAGGAAATAATACAATATGACCAAATGGAATGATCTGTAGGATTTTTTTAACTTTGTTTATCAGTACTTAGTATCAAAGTCATTCTGCCTTTATAAAAGGAATTGGGGAGCCAGCCCTGATGGCTTGATGGTTAAAGTTTGGCGCTTTCATCACTTTGATGGCCTGGGTTCGTTTCCTGGTTGTGAAACCACACCACCTGTCTGTCAGTAGCCATGCTGTGGCAGCAACTTACATAGAAGAATGAGAAAGACTTACACTAGGATATACAACCATGCACTGGGGCTTTGGGGAGGAAAAAAAAAAGGAAGATTGGCAACAGATGTTAGCTCAGGGCGAATCTTCCCCTGCAAAAAAAAAGAAGCAAAATGTCAAATTTTTAAAAAAGTAAAAAGAAGAATTGAGAAGCTTTCCATATTGTTTTATGGCCCAGAATAATTTAAACACTGAAATTATCTCCTCTTTGAGGATTAGATAAAACTCAGGCATGAAACATCTGACTTTAGTGCTTTGTTAATGCTAGATCTTTGATCACCTTTTTACTATCTACAGTGGTGATCAGTGTGTATGCAAATTTTCTGCCGCTTCTTATGTTTACTTGATTGTCTGTTTTTCTACGAAATTACCATTTTCTATAAGCATTCAAATGTGTTACCACAGAGTTACATGGGTATATAATTTATATATTTAATCTCTTCTGTGTTTGTGGTTATTTCTCTTTTCTTATTCCTAATTTTGTATATTTTTGCTGTCTCTCTCTTTTTCCCCTATAATCGGCCTCACAAATTTATCTATTATTTCAAAGAAACAAGTTTTGGATTTATTGAGACATTTAACCATACTTTTTGCTTTACATTTTGTTATTTTCAGCTTTCATCTTTATTTGCTTTTCCTGGTTTCTCTTGTTTAAAATAATTCTAATTTTTCTAATTTCCTTAGGTGAGTATTTGGTTCATTTTTATTTTATTTTAAGAAGGATGGTATTTAAGGCTATAAACTTTTCTCTAAGTGTAGCTTTCTTGTCCCATTGGTTTTGCTATGAAGTTTTCCTTTCATTCTTTTCTAGAAATTTCTGTCTTGGTTTCTTCTTATCCAGGAGTGATCACTTTGGGCATTTCCTAATAATTGGTTATCCATTACTACCTTCAGAGAATTTATTTTTAATGCTCTCTGCAATATCTAATGAAAACATCAAAGGGCTGACCCCGTGGCCAAGTGGTTAAGTTCATGTGCTTCACTTCCGTGTCCCAGGGTTTCACTGGTTCAGATCCTGGGCATGGACATGGCACCACTCATCAGGCCACATTGAGGTGGTGTCCCACATGCCACAATTAGAAGGACCACAACTAAGATGTACAAGTATGTACTGGGGGGATTTGGGGAGAAAAAGCAGAAAAAGGAAAAAAAAAAGACATTAAAGATATTCAACTACCTGCCCCCAAATACAGTAAACCCTGATACCTCATATCCATGGATGACTTCTAAGTAAACGCTTTTCTTTTCTTTTCTTTTTTGTGCTGAGTAAGATTCGCCCTGAGCTAACATCCCCTGCCAATCTTCCTCTTTTTTTTGCTTGAGGAAGATTAGCCCTGAGCTAATATCCATGCCAGTCTTCCTCTGTTTTGGATGTGGGTTGCCACCACAGCATGGCTGACGAGTGGTGTAGGTCTGCACCCAAGATCTCAACCCATGAACCCAGGCTGCCAAAGCAGAGCACGCGGAAATTTAACCACTATGCCATGGGGCCAGCCCCCTAAGTAAACTTTTGATCCCTCTTTCCATCATTGTTTTAACAAAATTCCACCATTCTTCAATATGAAACTTCAGGGGCCATGTTACAATATTTAAAACACAATTATATTCCTTCCACTGTTCAGATTGTTCTTCTTGCCCCATGACCATGCACTTCATGAAGCTAAAACAGGTCTGTGTGCTGAGTCACCAGGGAGCTGAGTAGACACAGGTAAGTGGTACCCCCAGGTAAGTGCTGAAAATGAGGGAGATGGGGCGCCTCTAAGACATTCACATCACATATTTGGCTTCTGCTCTGCAGTAGTGACAGCTTGAGTCCCAGGAATTGAAATTGAAAGGAGGGGCTGCAGGGGCTAGACAGGGGCTTGAAGGAACTAGTCCTGCAGTTCTGGCTTTTGAGGGTCAAGGATGACTGAGGTGAAACAGAGGGCAACTGGCTGACGAGGAAATGTCCAAACAGAGGTGGACTGGCCCTCTCTCAGGAATGCTCTGGAGAGCTGCAGGAGCTCAGGGGACAGACAACTGTAGGTAATATCTGCATCTCCTTCAGAGTAATATCTGTAATTCTCCAGCAGCAGCAAAGAGGGCGGAAAGAAAGCTGGGTCTCCCCTCTTTCCAGCGTGTCTCCTCCTATGTCCGGCTCAAGTCGATTTCACAGTCTCTGGGGTCCTCAGCCTTGAAGTTTGTGTGCGGTCAACCTTAGAAAGAAAACCTTTGAAATTGAAAACCTCAACTGACCATCATCAGAAGGCAAGCAAACCTCAAGTTGGTGTGTGTTTCTCCCGGGAAAGGGTGGTAGGTTACAATTTTAGAGGGTATGCAAGGGATATAATTAAAAAAAAAAATTTTTTTTGAACCACCTACTTTCTGCTCTGAGCCCCCATAGCACAAACCTGCATTCTGAAGGCTCATGTCCTGGTCACCTCTGACAGCACCATTATCC